AAATTTATTATAGATTTTCTCAATCAATGTGGAATAGAATTTTTAATTTAATTTTAAATAAATTTTATATTTGAGAAAACAAAAACCTACAATTGGCGATCCTGCCAGGAGCCAACCCGATTTTACCTCCTCGTTTGCCAAACATCAGTCGTCCGCTTAATAAAAACCAAAACGCCAATCCATATTGCAGAAACCTTGGTACATCGCCATTCGTACCAGACCTTCAGCCATAGCCACAGTCAAAAGGAGAAACTGAGCCGAAAAGTTGGGGTGTTCACAGTTCGTTCCAAATTGTGTCTGAAAATGTAGACGTCTACATTTTGAGACATATTTAGCATCAAACTGTGAGCACCCCTTTCTAGCAGTCGTCGCAAAATCGTCTCAAAACTTTGTTTCTTTTCATCAGAAATTGCGCTCAAATTAAATGAAAATACAGAAAACGTGCCCAATAAATAAAAAAAAAATGTGATTAGTATTGCCATAATGCAAAATGTAGACGCGTAAAAAACATATCTTTGAGTGTGACAAAATGTAGACGGCGTCGTTTTCCAATTTTGAATGGGAAACAACAACACCACAGATTTTACGGTTAGAAAACGTCTTAAAATGTAGACGTCTACATTTTGAGACACTATTTGGAACGAACTGTGCACACCCCAAGTCTTTTTTACCCAGCGCCGCCGAGCATCATCAACCTGCTTGTTCAGCGGAAAATACACATGAACCAGCGAGATCTACTGCTGCTGCTGCATTACTTTTTGCCGATGGTTCTTTGGCTTTTGCGACAAGGCACTAGCACACACCATACTATCGCGGTATCAACTGCCACCCCAACCAGCAGGCAACCACGCTGACATATTGAAGCACATAAATAATTTGCGCAGGAGCTACAACGGCGACGGCGACTTTGCTAAAAGTGTGGAAACGCAGCTTGGCCAACGTCCGTCCACAGTTGGCAATAAGCATATTACACCACGTCAAATTTTGATATAACGCACTTAAATCTTAAATATCCACCGGATATATCACAACTGTCGCCTGTATATATACCAGATTCATTGAAATTACCTGGTGATCTGTATCTTATATATATATATAAGTATTTAAGTTAGTTTATTTTCTAACTGAATTTAATTGTTAATCGAAACTTCCGCGATTTGTTATAAACCTGTGAACTCCCCTTTTTGAGATTTTTGTATTATAACAATCAAAATGTTTCATTCTCCCCAACACGACACACAAACATCTACACGGACACAAAATATAAACGATTCGCTTATTGATTTGCAGAACAATACGTATCAAGAGGAATTAGCAAATCCTTATGCCAGTCGTATTAATAGTGAGATTTGTGCTACTTCTGTTAAATTACCGCAATTCTGGACAAGTTGTCCAGAAGCATGGTTTATTCATGCGGAAATGCAGTTTAGTACAAAAAATATCACGCAAGAAACAACAAAATACGAATATACAATTACTGCACTTCCGCAAGAAGTAATAATAACCATTTTAGACTTTATACAAAATCCACCGGAAAACAACAAATTTGGGGCATTAAAACAAATTTTAATAGAGAGAAATTCGTTAAGTGAGAATGCAAAACTAAATAAAATTGTATCTGATTCTCAAATTGGTGATCGTAAGCCATCCGAATTTTATCGATCAATGTTATTACTTTCTGGTTCCAATTTTAGTTCGGATATTCTTAAAAAACTTTGGTTAAGAAAATTGCCTAAGAATATTAGTGTGATTTTGGCGAGTTCAAGTATTAGTGACATTAATGAATTAACGAAATTAGCAGACAATGTTTGGGAACAAATTAACAAATCAGAATTAGCTTCTGTAAGTAATTTTCAGAATTCAAAATGTGAAAAATTGGTAATTGAGAATTTAGTCAGAACAAATGAAATTATGTGTGAAAATTTTCAAAAACTTTCTATGGAGTTAAGTGAAATTAAAAAGAATATTCATCAAAATAGTTTTAGGTCGCGTTCGACTAATAGAAATCGTTTTAGAAGTGCTTTTAGAGGGCGTTCGAAATCATTTGATAATCCAAATTGGTTATGTAGGTATCATTACAAATTCGGTAACAACGCAAAGAAATGTGAACAACCTTGTACGTTTTCAAAAAATAAGGATTCGTTAAACTAAAATCCTCTGTTGTTGCGGCGACAAACAACGGAAATATAGAGTTTTCTACACGTCGCCTCTTTATTTTTGATAAACAGAACAATTTAAATTTTTTAATTGATAGTGGTGCTGAGATTTCAGTACTCCCGGTTTCTAAATTTCGATGTACAAAAAAATCTTCGGATATTGTTTAACGGCAGCTAACGGTTCAGTAATTTCAACCTTCGGAAAAAAGCTTTTAAATGTTAATTTAGGATTAAGACGGGAATTCTCATTCACATTTTTAATAGCTGATATTGCGAAACCTATCATAGGTGCAGATTTTTTGTGCAAATTCGGTCTTTTAATTGATATTAGACACAAACGATTAGTAGATCCGCTTACTGATCTTTCGGTTAATGCGATTTCCTTCTTTTGTTCGGTTCCTCTTCCAAAAATTTTTGCTGTGGATAATAAATATACAAAATTGTTAAAAGAATTTCCATCACTTATTGTAGAACCAGATTATTCCAAACCTGTTAGGCATTCAACGGTACATCGACTTGATACAGTAGGAAACCTTCCATTTTCTAAGCCAAGGCGCTTAGATCCCATAAAGTATCAAGTTGCTAAACGTGAGTTTGATTTTTTAATTAAATCAGGAATTTGTAGACCTTCAAATTCCTCGGTAGCGTCTCCACTTCATTTAGTACCAAAGAAAGAAGTTAATGATTGGCGTCCTTGCGGTGATGTTAGAAGACTTAATATTGTGACTGTGCCGGATCGTTACCCCTTGCCTCATATTCATGATTTTAATATGAATCTTAGAAACAAAAAAAAAAATATTTTCAAAATTAGATTTAGTTAGAGCGTACCATCAAATTCCCATGGCAGAAGAAGATATTTATAAAACAGCGATTACTACTCCTTTTGGCATGTTTGAGTTCACCCGAATGCCTTTCGGACTCAGAAATTCGGCACAAACGTTTCAAAGGTTCATCAATGAAGTAGTTAACAATTTCGAATTTGTCTTTGCGTATATTGATGATCTTCTTATTGCAAGTGAAAATGAATAACAGCATATTAAGGATCTTCATGTGCTTTTTCAACGTTTAGCTGAGTACGGTCTTAATATCAAACCAAACAAATGTATTTTCAGTGTTATGAATATTGATTTTTTAGGACATAACATTTCTGAGACAGGAATACAGCCTTCTGAAAATAGGGTAGAAACTATTAGAAATTTTGAACGACCAAAGTCAATTAAGCAGGCACAAAAATTTATAGGGATGGTTAATTACTACCATAGATATATTTCAAAATTAGCAGAGTATACTGGTGTTATTTATGATTTGATTAATAGAACAAGTAAAAAACGAAACAAGATTCTAGTTTGGGATGACAAGTAGATTAAAGCTTTTGAATGTATTAAGGAGAAATTTTCATCTAAGGTTTTGTTAAATCATTTTAACAAAGATGCAAAATTATCTTTAATGGTAGATGCATCTAATACGGCAATTGGAGGTGTCATACAGCAGCATTTTGATAACAAGTCTGAACCACTTGCTTTCTTTTCAAAAAAAAACTTTCTTCAACAGAAATGAAATATAGTACTTTTGACCGAGAATTATTGGCAATTTACTTAAATATAAAACATTTTCGTTATCTTTTAGAAGGACGGCAATTTACAGTTTTTACAGACCACAAGCCTTTAATGTTTGCTTTAAATTCTAAAACTGAACGTAGTCCAAGACAAACAAGACATATGGAATTCATTGCACAATTCACTAATGACATACAGTTCGTTAAAGGACAAGAAAATGTGGTAGCTGACACTTTATCTCGAGCTTTCGAAGTAGATGCAATTAGAAATTCAGAAATTAATTTTAAAATTTTACAAAGAGAACAGCAAAAGGACGATGAGCTTGGTAAACTTACTTCTGGAAAAGCATTTCAAAATCTTAAATTTACCAAAATTCCCCTTTTTAAATTTTCATATTTGGTGTGAAGTGTCAGTAGAAAATCCTAGACCTTTCGTTCTAAATAGTTTGCGGAAAACGGTATTTAATATTTTACATGGGATAGCGCATCCTGGTACTAAGGCTACGCGTCGTTTAATAGTAAATAAGTATTATTGGCCAAATATGAATAACGAAATTAATATCTGGTCAAAAGAATGCATTAGTTGTCAAAAATCTAAAGTGTATCGTCATACAAAAACTCCAGTTAGCAAAATTCCGATTCCTCAAAAAAGATTTCAACATATTCATATAGATATTGTAGGACCTTTCTTTACCTGTTTCGAAAGGACATCGCTACATTCTAACAATAATTGATCGGTTTACTCGTTGGCCGGAGGCGTACGGGTTAAGGGAGATTTCTGCAAGGGCTATCGCAAATAAGTTTTTAAATGAATATATATCTCGTCTTGGTGTGCCGTTAGAAATAACTACTGATAGAGGTACTCAATTTACGTCTACATTATTTGCAGAATTGACACACTTACTTGGATGTTGCCTTATCACAACGTCTTCCTACCATCCGCAAGCCAATGGTATGGTGGGGCGTTTTCATAGGCAATTGAAATCTTCAATAATGGCTAGAAATGGAACCAGAAATTGGTATGATGAGTTACCATTGATATTGTTAGGGTTACGATCGACTTTTAAAGAGGATATTTCGGCTACACCAGCTGAAATGGTCTTAGGACAAAATTTACGACTACCCGGTGAACTTGTGGTACAAATCTCTCAAAATTCTACTGCAACAGATGTGTTGAGTTGTTTGCGTGAACGTTTTAGGAATGTTAGGTCAAATTTAGAACATCATAGAAATTCTGACACTGGTTTGTTTGTTCCAAAGGATTTGCAAAATTGCAAATTTGTTTTTGTACGAGTAATGAATAAAAATTCTCTACAACAACCATATGAA